TGATATTTTGAAATCTCTTTGGGCTGTAACTTTTTCTTTGCCAAAATTAGAAATATCGTCGAATTTGGATAAAGCACCACCTCCATTGGTATTTGAATAGTCGTAGGCTAAAAGGGTGTATATTTTATCTGTACGAAGTGACTGTAATTAGAACGTGTGGGGTCCCTTAAATAGAATATTTCAGTTATATATGTCGGTTATTTTAAGGATAAAAGCCATGTATGGGAACCTTTTTAGTATTGGTCGGTATTTACACGTCTCGAAGGACTTATCCGCATATTAGGGTTTCTTCTTCTAAGATGAAAAAACTACACCATGTTAGTATAGGTTCATGTTTTGGTATAGTTCAGCCGTTTAAATGTCCCATACTTTTACGATATTTTGAAAATCTCATCAGCCGTTTCTGTTCCTAATTTCAGATTCCCAGGGGGAAAATATCTTCTGACAACATAGTTTCACATTTCCATCCCTACATAAATATTGAGATCCATTTTAAATATTTTTTTTTAAGTTCCTGACACAACATTGCAAGTCTTTTAATATACATGTAAATACTATAAAGATTCTTGTTGCATTTTCAATTGAAGTGTTTTTCGGGTACTCTCGGGTTCTCAGAAAATAATAAAAACCAGTAAGGAAAGTAGTAAAGTCGGACTGGGCCGACCCCTTCACCACTTTGAGTATATTGTACATATGTTTTGACATGAAATTGAACAAACTTAAATATGCGATCTTTATCTATTAGTAAACCGACTAACACAACATTATTCAGTAAATAGATTTAAAGCAAACTTTACACACGTTATTTGGATGCTTCACTGTTTCAAATCAGGCACCCATTGATTATTTGGTGTACAATCAACATGAATAGGTCGAAATTATATATGGAAGCTATACTATATCTAAATCTGAACCGTTTTCAAGGAAACTTGCTAGATATTAATTTTTTATAATTTCAGTACGTATTGTCAATCGGCCTATGTATGGGCCTTTAATGCACCATTTACTTAAAATCGGACGAAACTATATATGGGAGCTATATCTATATCTGAACCGATTTTCTCGAAACTTGGCACACGCCATTCTAGACTCAATTCAGTACACTGTGCAAAATTTCGTGCAAATCGAAGGATATATAGGGCTTTGGTGCACCATTTACCTTAAATCGGACAAAACTATATATGGGAGCTATATCTAAATCTGAACCAATTTTCTCGAAACTTGGCACATATCGTTCTAGTCTTAATTATGTACGCTGTGCCAAATTTCGTGCAAATCTATTATGTCTTTGTGCATATGTTATATGCATAGAATCACTTTCTGAGTCGATTTATGCATGTCCGGCTGTCCGTCCGTCCGTCTGTCCATGTATTTTTGTTAACAGGTCGCATTTATGATCCGATTTGGATGAAATTTGGCACAGGTCACTTAATTGGCCCAAGGACGAACCCTATTGAAATTGGAGAAAACCACGTTTAGGTATAGCCCCCATATAAGGGTACACCCAAATTTTCGGTATTTTGAGGTTCTTGAGCGCGTTTTTTAATTGAATTCGCTGAAATTTGGTACTTTCAGTTCTTATTGGGTAGCAAATCTCCCTACCAAAAATTATAAATAAAGGTCAATTTTTTCGGATAGTATATAAAGAAGCTATATGTAAATCTGAACCAATTTCAAGAAAACTTGACACACTAAAGGTTATAGTAACTTCAGTAGATTGTACAAAATTGTGTGCCGATCGATCAATCTTTGGGTATTCAGTGCACAATTTAAATTAAATCGGTAGAAAATATATACTGAAGCTATATCTATATCTGAACCGATTTTTCCGAAACTTAGTACACATCATTCTGGACCTAATTCAGTACCATATGCCAAATTCCGTGCAAATCGAAAGATATATTGGGACTTTTGAGCCCCATTTACCTTAGATCGGGCAAAAATATATATGGGAGGTATACATAAATCTGACCCGATCTTCTCGAAACTTGGCACACGTCATTCTAGACTCAATTTAGTACACTATGGAAAATTTCGTGCAAATCTAAAGAAATATAGGGACTTTGGTGCACCATTTACATAAAATCGGACAAAACTATATGTGGGAGCTATATCTAAATTTGAACCGTTTTTCACGGAACTTAGCACACATCATTCTGGACCTAATTCAGTACTCTATGTCAAATTTCATTCAAATCAGAAGATGTATAGGGACTTTATAGCACCATCGGACGAAACTATATATGGGAGCTATATCTATATCTGAACCGATTTTCTCGAAACTTGACACACGCCATTCTAGACTCCATTCAGTACACTGTGCAAAATTTCGTGCAAATCGACAGATACATAAGGACTTCGGTGGACCATTCACATAAAATCGGACAAAACTATATATGGGAGCTATATCTAAATCTGAATCGATTTTCACGAAACTTAGCACACATCATTCTGAACCTAATGTAGTACTCTATGTCAAATTTCAATTAAATCAGAAGATGTATAGGGACTTTGGAGCACCATTTACTTTAAATCGGACGAAACTATATATGGGAGCTATATCTATATCTGAACCGATTTTCTCGAAACTTGGCACACGCCATTCTAGACTCAATTCAGTACACTGTGCAAAATTTCGTGCAAATCGAAGGATAAATAGGGCTTTGGTGCACCATTTACCTTAAATCGGACAAAACTATATATGGGAGCTATATCTAAATCTGAACCAATTTTCTCGAAACTTGGCACATATCGTTCTAGACTTAATTCTGTACGCTGCGCCAAATTTCGTGCAAATCTATTATGTCTTTGTGCATATGTTTGTAACAGGCAAAAATAATCGAGATAGACCCATGGTTCCTTTTGAGAATATGCATACAATCACTTTCTGAGTCGATTTATGCATGTCCGGCTGTCCGTCCGTCCGTCTGTCCATGTATTTTTGTTAACAGGTCGCATTTATGATCCGATTTGGATGAAATTTGGCACAGGTCACTTAATTGGCCCAAGGACGAACCCTATTGAAATTGGAGAAAATCGGTCCACGTTTAGGTATAGCCCCCATATAAGGGTACACCCAAATTTTCGGTATTTTGAGGTTCTTGAGCGCGTTTTTTAATTGAATTCGCTGAAATTTGGTACTTTCAGTTCTTATTGGGTAGCAAATCTCCCTACCAAAAATTATAAATAAAGGTCAATTTTTTCGGATAGCCCCCATATAAGATTACCCCCAATTTTCGGTATTTTGGGGGTTTTGATCGCATTTTTCGACCGAATTCGCTGAAATTTGGTATTTTGTGTTCTTATTGGGTAGTAAATCTCCCTACCAAACATTATAAATAAAGGTCCATTTTTTCGGAAAGCCCCCATATAAGTGTACCCCCAATTTTCGGTATTTTCGGGTTCTTGGACTCGTTTTATAACTGAATTCTTTGAAATGTTGTACATTGGGTTCTTATATAGGTCTACCAAACATTATAAATAAAGTTTTTCTGGTACATATAACGGTACCCCACTAAAAATTATTGGTATTTTGGGGGTTCTGAGTTTTTCTTGACTGTAATTTAGTACGTCCTTATTAGGTAGTACATCTCTTCACTATAAATTATAAATATTGGTCAATTTTTTCTGTAGCCCCCAGGTTTTGAGGTTCTTGAACCAAATTCTTTTTTCTGGTACAGGGTATTATGTCTTTGTGCATATGTTTGTAAGAGGCAAAAGGAAACGAGACAGACACATGGTTCCGTTTGAGAATATGCATAGAATCACTTTTTGAGTCGATTTAAGCACGAAATTTGGCACAGCGTAACAAATTAGGTCTTGAATGATGTGTGTTAAGTTTCCTGAATCCTGAAGATCTGACCAAATGAACAATTTAGTATCGGTTGCAGAATGACCTGTTTATGGTTCCAATTTCATTTTACTGGTCCTTTAAAAATGCGACGTCTGTTAGGATTCATCTGTTGAATATACTCAAAGTGGTGAAGGGTATCATATGGTCGGCCCCGTCCGACTTTACTACTTTCCTCACTGGTCTATAGCATTTACAACCTTTTACTAAAAGCATTTACACCCTTTACTTTAATGACATAGTTCTCATATAAAAGTTTCTTCCAATTTAATTTAATTTGAAGGCACTTGTTTGTTTGATTATAAATACACCCATCATTATTATGCCAAAAATATATGTCTAGTTACCCTCGTAACTACTCACATATAAGCTAACAACAATGTAATAACTAACAATATCCTTATATAAACTAATCCCATAATAACTGACTGTCAGTTACTTTTTGGTCTAAACCCAACTGATCAGGAAAAAAAGAATACAATTCGGAAACTAAGCACCATTTCACTGTAACAAACAATTTGAAATTGCCTTGGAAATGCAAAGCCCAAATGTTCACAGCAAACGAAGGCAAAATCAAAAAAATCAAAACAATTCCAAAAAACTCTTTATGTTTCTGAAAATCGTGTGGGAGATGAGAATGACATAAAGCTATTTGTGTAACAGGAAACGTGTGGACAGGATATCCGCTGGACAACAATGGAGTTGGTTTTTGCAGTTTGTATCCCTACCTCTTTATTTGTTGATGGCACATTGACTATTTCGGGTATGGTTAGGTGTGTGCGTGTGTGAGCTGTTTTTCGTCATTGTGTTTCCTCGTCAGCATTTTTTATTTGAAACGCTGGTCCACTGAAAATCTCTGTCGATTTGTGCACTGCTATCTTTATGTTTTGTTTTTTTAGAAACCATTTCCCCCACATCTAAATTGCCCCTAAGCAGTTCCCAATAGAATGTCGGGGGTAGAACAAAAACACAAAAAACAACTGAAAATAATATTTAGTTTTTCATTGATGATTTTTCGTTTAATTTTTGTGTTATCTATTGCCAGCATACCAGTTTTCACATTTTTTTTCTATTTTCATTTTTGCTTTTCCTATTAAACTTATATCCCTATATAAATATGTGTGTGTGATTTGTTTGTGTGCCTTTTCAGGTTACTTTGGATAGCTTTACAATTGGACGCTTCACTTCATATACCCAGGATGGCTGTCCGGATGGCTATATGCAAATCGCTGAATCAGCCCGCACACCCATTGGTGGCATGTGGTGTGGCACCTCATGGGGACCAGTTCTGTTCTATAGTGAATCTCGTTCGTTGATTTTTACAATCAAACTAAATAAGTGAGTATTTAACATTATTATTTTTTGTGCTTGTTTCTTTTGTTATTGACATTCTCTCGATTAACAAAAACTATTTCTGAGAGTTTAAAAAAAATTTTTCATTTGTTCAAAGTTATTTTAGATTTTGTACTAGGAAGCCCAGCAAACATTTTTCGCTGTTATTAAGCCCTTATTATTTCAAATACAAAATAGGTTATTGTAAACCATAGGTTCATATTGAACTATGGGACCCAGCCAAAGCACTGATTAAATATTTTGTGCCAATAGATTTTTTTTTATTTTCTGAGAACCCGCCGAAATAATTACAGACACTTCAATTGAAAATGCAACAAAAACATTCAAAGTACTTCAATTTAGGATGAGTCCTTTATATCGAAACACTGACAATTTTCTGTCAGGATGTCTGCCAGGAACATTTTGTTTACAACTTAAAAATATACCTAAAATAGATTTCAATATTTATATGGAGGTGTAAATATTAAGCTATGTGGTCAGGATGAGTGTTTTCCCCCAAAGAAACCAAAATTCCGAACAGAGTGGAGAGGGCTTTAACATTGTTGTAGTTGTAAGAACGGCCCATTTAAACGGCGGCTATGTCAATACATGAACCTATACCAAATTTCTGGCATGTTGCCTTTTTTCTCTAAGAACAAGAAACCCTGCATAACGAATGAGACAATCGAGACTCGTAAATGCAGACCAACACTAAAAAAGTTCCGCCTACATGACTAGTATCCTCTCAAATGTAAAACAAAATACTGATAATGGGGTTCCAACCTAATATTGATCAACACATGAACCTATGTCAACACATGAACCTATACCAAATTCCTGGCAAGTTGTCTTTTTTCTCTAAGAACAAGAAACCCTGCTTAACGAATGAGACCATCGAGACTCGTAAATGCAGACCAACAATAAAAAAGTTCCGCCTACATGACTAGTATCCTCTAAAATGTAAAACAAAATACTGATAATGGGGTTCCAACCTAATATTGATCATTTTCCAGGCTTCAAAAACCCTTTATACTAAATTACAACCACATAGGCGGGAGAAAAATTCTAAAATACTGAAAATTGGTCGGTATGAACCTGAGAAACTTAGAGCAAATCTGAAAAATGTGCCCAAGCTCCGCAAATACAGAATATTGGGCCAATATTGAAAATTTTTGGTATAACGATTTTCTGTTCGATAAAAGGTCAGACTTATTATGCACGTTTTGTTCCTAATAGACATATTTTGGGTCCTACTTAAAATCGGACGAAACCATATGGGGGCTATATCTAAATCTGGACGGATTCCAACAAAACTTGACACACGTTTGGCTAAACTATCTTAAGTACGTTGTGCAAAATTTTGTGTAAATCTGAACCGATTTTCACGAAACTTCACACACATCATTCTAGATTTAATTCAGTACGCTATGCCAAATTTTGTACAAATCGAAAGAAATGTAGGGACTTTGGTACACGATTAACATTTAATCGGGCGAAAATATATATATGAGAGCTATATCTAAATCTGAACCAATTTTCAAGAAATTTTACACACATCATTCTAGACCTCATTTAGTACGTTATGCCAAATTTCGTGTAAATCGAACGAATTTTAGGGACGTTGGTGAACCATTTACATAAAATCGGGCGATACTATATATGGGAGGTATATCTATATTTGAACCGATTTTTACGAAACTTAGCACACATCATTCCAGACTAAATTTAGTACGCTATGCCAAATTTCGTGTAAATCGAAAGATATGTAAGGACACATGCACAAAGACATAATACCCTGTACCACAGTGTGGTGAAGGGTATAAAAACCAGTGAGCAGAGCTACACAACTACCACCGAAGTATTACTTTGTGTAGATCTATATTCCGAGTCTGCGCCATATTTGGCAATATTTGCATTCTCTCAATCGAATAGAGATCAAGAGCTCCTCTTTCTTACCCTGGCGTATTATCCAAATTATTTTTTTCCAGTATAAACATTTAAGCCATACAATTTAAATTTAGTTTTGGTACAGTTGACCCTACCATTTTCAAAACAGTCATTCTAAATAGCTGGCCAGATCCCTTATCCGTTTAAAACACAAAGCTAAAATACCCTGACAACATAGTTGTGTGAGGTATAATTACAGCTAGTCTGGACGAACCACCTGACCAAAGTCCCAAAAAATACCGATTTATTGTAATATGGGGGCTACCTAAAAAAGTGGTTCAATTTTGATCATTTTTAGTACAAAGATTTTCTACCCAGAAAAAACCAAAAATACCAAATTGCATTTGTCTAAAAGTTCCAAAATACCAAATATTGGGGACTTCCCTAAAACATTATGGAGATTTTGTATTTAACGAGAATCCTGAAAATTATATAAGAACGGATCTCTTGACAAACGTGCCCAAAAGATTTCAAATATCGAATAAAGAGAAGTTCTGCTCCATGAGAACCACTTGAAAAAGTAGAAAATGTTAATATGTTTTTGTAGGGAGATTTTCTAGCCAGCACTAACCCTAAAACACTGCAACTGAAGAGTTTGAAAAACAATACCACAAAACCATTACCATTAAAAGTGGACTGATATATCCCATTTTCAATATCAAACATCCTAAAAGTAATATCAGCCCATGTTTAAAATTGTAAAAGTCTATCATCAACATTGCGTTCTCTATCGTGCTGTACTCATCTCGGTAACACCCCACCATTGCATAAAGGTCTATTCCGTGGAAAGAAGGCAACTTCGTCATGAAAAATCTGTACAGAATTCATTTGCATGTGGCTGTGAAAATGATCAGATTTCGATATAGCTTCCATATATAAATGCATCCGATTTGAAGTATAATGGCCTATCAACACGAACTTTTTATCAGGAAACTGAATTTTTAAACTTTAATGACGGGTAGTTGTATTCGAATTCAGTTATATGAGTTGTTAAATTTGGAAGTGGTATAAGTATATATATAAGTTATAATAGGTTCATTAAATCACTTGGTGGCCTTACCCAAATTGGAATAGCATATCGTATAGTCGGTCCCGTTTGGCGTATGTGCTTTCCATGCTCCTACTACTATAACCTGCCAACTTCAACTTTCCCAAAAGCGTACAATACCTACAAATATTGAAGTGCAGAGAATAAATACACACTCCAACACCCACACATCCCAATGGCAAATATTGTTTTCGTTTTTTGTGTTTTTGTTCTTTTTTTTTGTGTTCTCCTTTTTGTTTTCCACAACTGAACTTTTAATGAAAAAACATTTTTTTGTAATATTGTCTCATAACTTTTCCGTTTTTTTTTTCGAACAATTTTCAGATTAGCACGTGATCAAAGTGGTTATAATTTCGACTTTCGTATACGTTACAAAATGCTATCCCGTGACAGTTCCGTTACACGTTATGGTGGAATAAAAGTTGAAGGTATGTGCCAAGAACAAATTATTGTATTGTATGTATATAGCTAGCTAGTCAACTGAATATTGAAACTGTTGTGTTTGAGATTTGGCAACAGGAACAACTGCACGTACAATAGTGGAAGTTAATGGAATTAAGTCTAAAGTGAACTGAAAAAAAAAATAATTTAAGAGATTTGGAGTGGTTTTCTACAGTTATAAGGACTTCTATAGATGGCATTAATATATACCGAATGGGGCAACGATATAAAAGTGGATATGATATAGCAATGTTTTGAAAAAAATCGGCTCATCATAATGAACTCGCTTGAAAATATGTCAAAATCTACAAATACTTCACAAGTAAAGAGTTTACCCAAATCAAGAATGTACACTCTACAATAATTATTTTGACGTCTGTAGGTGGGACGATGTGTTTACCACTTTGAACCTAGGACAGGTTCAAAGGGGACCAGGGTCTTCAGAAGATTTTTTTCGTTATGGGGTTTTTAAGAGGGAGAGGGAGAGAGAAAACACACTTTAAATAAAGTATCAACTAAAAGTTAGGGTTGTTCATTGCATGTGGGTCTGTGGGTCAGACTAATCACGGTGATTAATCTGACTCCAAGGAACGTTGACGACAGCAAGGCACAGTGTGCCCGTCTTGAAGCCAAGGGCTAGTTTTCTAACACCACCTTACTCGTACGACGATGACTAACATCTGTCTGTTTCTGCCAAGGACTAGGTATGTAACCCCACTTGACTCAACAATCATCTACAGACGACTGCCCCGATCATCATTTCATTTCAAAATAGCCATTTATTTAGAAAATAATTTCATCGTACAATATACTTAATGGATACTATGGATTACAATGAAGGAGACTACGAGCTATTTCATATCTAGCGCCACATTTGGAATACTAGGCGAATCATTAAATTAGCTTGTACTTATATAGAAGTTAAAAAATAGGCCAAACTTAAATTGACTTAACACTACCTTAAATCTAAACTTACAATTAAATTATATACAATTTCTAGTATATTGAGCTGTGCTATATACAGGTTCAATATCGGCGCAGACGCTCATCTTTATTGTAAAGAATTCATCCGTCTGTAGAATGGGAGGTGTTATCTTCTAAGCATGAAGTGAAGTTCCTCGTTACACTCCATGTATCGCTCCATTAATCTATTTTCCACAAGCGTACTCCTTTCCAGGAAGTTGAGAGCATATTTCACGTCCTCACGCAGACATCGATTCGGTTGAAGACGATTGCATTATAGATGTTCCTATTGGCCGGACGTCTATAAATTCCATTGTTATCCAGTGTTGGTCTAATTCCTATGCATGATCCCAATATATTATTTCTCTCCAACATTCTAATCCGTTCCATTCGGGCTGACGATATGTCTGCCGATGCAGCAAAGGAGTAGGTGAGGATGGGACGAATCACTTGTTTGTATATTAGCATCATTACCTCCGAAGAAAGTCCTCTTCGCATTCGCAAGAGTCTCTGATAGGCAAAGATCATCTTTTTGGCCTCTGAAAACACATAATTCATATGGCGACAGAAGTCGAATCTTTCGTGCAGGATGATTCCAAGGTATTTCATCCTAGCTGACAGTCCAATAAATTCCTTTCCAACCTTTATAATTGGAATGTACTTTCGGATGCTCTTCACAGTGGACATGGGTTTGCCCTTGATAACCACAGTTACACACTTTCCAACATTGAGTTTAAGTCCCCATTTGTTGAAGTAGTTGTGAAGTGTTTCCATGTACACATTCAATCTTCTTTCCACAGTGCTTCCAAAAAGGCCTCGTAGAGCAAATAATACATCATTAGCGTACGTTAATAGCAGTCCTCTTTCAGGCCGCTCCGGTATGTCGGAAACGAACAGGTTGTATAGATCCGGTCCCAGTAGTGATCCCTGTGGCACCCCTGCGTTGATCGTTCGCTGTCCAGACATCTTATCTTCTACTCGATCCTTGAGAAAACTTGCCACCATGCGACAAGTTTGTGGATCGTGTCCGAATGATTGCACCTTATAAAGAATGCCGTTCTGCCATACTGTATCAAAAGTTTTGGCAAAGTCCAGAACAATAGCAATGGTTCCTTGCTTCAGTTTGAAGCCTTCGTTCACTTATTTAGAGAATGCTACAAGTGCGTGGGTTGTCGAATGTTTTGCTCGAAATCCAAACTGGCAATCTCTAAGGATTTTTCCTTTCCACAGCAACACTGTTGATGCGTCGCAGAATAAAATGCTCCAGTAATTTTCCAAAGGGCGATAGTTGGGAAATTGGTCTGTAGTTTCCGCGCTGACGCATCTGTACCAGGCATTGGGATTAGTTAGTGCCTCCTCTCATGCTATTAGTAAATAGCCAATGTTGAGGCAGTGGTTAAAAAGTACCGTCAGGAAAATTATTATGGCTTCTCCTGCTTTCTTCACGGCAATGCCTGGAACTTTGTCAATGCCATACGACTTCTTCAGAGTACGGTGTGCTATTACAGACCCGACTATATCTGGGTCTATCAGGCATTTGTCCTGCGATCTAGGTCCATCGTTGTATTTACATCCGCATTGAAGTCACTGCAGAAATTAACGAGTTTCGCAGCGTTGTGTAAATCTTCCAATGCAGTGCTACCAACACTGCGGAAAGATTTATCCACTGCAACATCGGATTGGTGGATACCTTCCATATGATCGGCTAAGATCTCGGCCTTCAAGGAGTTGTCTGTATAGAATGCCTTCGATGGGCTGCCTAAAATAAAGTCCAACAGCTATTTTTACCTTCCCATTCGAATGATTGCACTTTATAAAGAATGCCATTCTGCCATACTGTATCAAAAGTTTTGGCAAAGTCCAGAACAATAGCAATGGTTCCTTCCATCAGTTTGAAGCCTTCGGTCACTTATTTAGAGAATGCCAAAAGTGCGTGGGTTGTCAAATGTTTTGTTCGAGATCCAAACTGGCAATCTCTAAGGATTTTCCTTTCCACAACAACACGGTTGATGCGTCGCAGAATAAAATGCTCCAGTAATTTTCCAAAGGGAGATAGTAGGGAAATTAGTCTGTAGCTTCCGCGCAGATGCATCTGTACCAGGCTTTGGGATTAGTACGGCAAGTGCCTCCTCTCATGCTATTGGTAAATAGCCAATGTTGAGACAGTGATTAAAAAGTACCATCAGGAAAATTATTATGGCTTCTCCTGCTTTCTTCACGGCAATGTCTGGAACAGACCCGACTATGTCTGGGTCTATCAGGCCTTTGTTTCCCGATCTAGGTTCATCGTTGTATTTGTATCCGCCTTGAAGTCACTGCAGAAATTAACGAGTTATGCATCGTTGTGTAAATCTTCCACTGCAGTGCTGACAACACTGCGGAAAGATTTATCCACTGCAACATCGGATGGGTGGATACCATCCATATGACGGGTAAGATCTCGGCCTTCAAGGAGTTGTCTGTATAGAATGCCTTCGATGGGCTACCTAAAATAAAGTCCAACAGCTATTTTTACCTTCCCATAAGTCTTAGAGTTGTCTTTGATGATTTCCAGATCGCCAGTAAAACGACTTTTCTCATGAATATTAATAACTTGTCTTATTATCACACTGAGATTCCTCATGGTGATGGACGGTGGAAGCTTGAGTGAAACATGCCGGGTATAATCGGAGCTTTATGAGGGGTTATGTCAAAACAAGAACCTGTACCAAACATATTCTCCAAAGATGTTTCTCGCCCTACAAGATGTTTTTCACTCTTCAAAAAACGGAATGACAAAATAACAGACACTTCGTTAGGAAAATGAGGATAGAACCCAATATTAATAAATAAATATGACGGAACTTATATTTCTTTACTAGACCCGTTTCCAAAAGGAATGACTAAATTTATATTATACACTCCACTTCATAATCAAGGGTATACAAAGAGGACTTTTTGTATATAAAATACCGGTCATGGATTCTAATAAGTTCACATGGAATATTTTACTACTATATCACACTCACACACAGATATATATTGTATTGTATTATATATTTTGACTCCCGTTTCGTTTATTTGTCCCTTAGACCTTCAACAATGGCACAATCGCAGCAGTTTCCTACACCAACAAAACAGTGTCGAGGACTTTACAAATTCAAGTGGCGCCCGCTCGGATCGTTATGGTCAGGATTTCAGTTTGTTCAGCGCTTATGCAAATAATAAAACATTTATGGATTCGCTGAATAATCAAATGGCGAGAGACGAACAGAATTATACCGAACCCAAATATTATTTAGGTAAGCCAAATAAACAGTGTTGAATGGAAGGGTATAAAGAGAGTGAGAGAGAGAGAGGGAGGCAATGTCAAAAGCATTCAACGGTATATGAGTGCTGAACGAAAAAAATAAAAATAAAATTCGAAACACACAAAATGTGAAATTTATTCATGCAAAACCAAACGAATATTAATATTTACCCAACAATTGCTTGTTGCTGTTGTTTTTATTTTATTTGCTTTCATATTCATGCTTGCACTTGAAGGTGATTTAATACCCGGCACTTATTGTTCCCGTATCTTCAGCGATTGCGATAAAAAGGCCTGCCGTCTACAATCGCCCAACTATCCGGGAATATATCCACGAAATTTAACGTGTTATTTTGCTGTTAGACAGGTAAGGGCTGGTTGATGTTTACTATGTTTTTCAAAAAAAAGTGTAGAAAATATGATTCCGTGTTATGGATGCAATTTTTACTCCCGAACTTTAATGAGACTTCTAAGTACGGGTAACGAGTAAGACGAATTGTTGGCCTGTTCTCGTACTACAATTTTAACTATTTTTTCGATATCACAAGGGAAAATTTGTTATCATAGTAAAACCAGTAAGTAAAGTAGTATAGTCGAAATGGGCCGACTCTATGATACCCTTCACCACTTTGGGTATATTCTACATATGTATCCTAACAGACAACGCCTTTTTTGGGAGGAACATTGACATAATATTGAACGAATCTATATAATACGTAATGCCATTCTGCAACCTAAGCTAAATTTTGTAAATTTAAAATTTAATCTCAATCAGACACCCATTGAATATTTGCTATGGTATATGTAAATCTGAACAGATTTCAAGGAATATTGCCAGCGATTAATTTATATTAACATCAGTAAGTTTTGTCAATCGGCCTAGCTATGGACTGAAAATATATATAGGAGATATATGTATATATATATATGAGATATATGCAATTTACATTAAATCTTACGAGAATATATATGGGAGCTGTATCTAAATCTAAACCAATTTCAACGAAATTTAACACACATCATTATAGAATTAAAGGTATATAGGAACTTTGGTGCTACATTTACATTAAATCGGACTAAAATATATATGGGAGCTATATCTGAACCGATTTCCACGAAACTTAACCCACATCATTATAGATACCAAATCGAAAGGTATTTAGGGACTTTGGTGCTCCATTTTCATTAAATAGGACAAAAATATATATAGGAGCTGTATCTAAATCTGGAGCGATTTCCACGAAACTTAACACACAATATTATAGACTCAATTTAGTACGCTATGCTAATTTTCGTTCAAATCGAAAGATATATAGGGATTATGTTGAACCATTTGCATTAAGGGGTCCCCCCCCCCCATTCTCGGGGTCAAAAATTTGTTTGATTTAATTCGAATCTACACTAATTCAAGAGTGTCCCTACAAAATTTCATGTGAAAATCTAAAGATAGAGCCGATTTATTGTGTCAGCATCAAATGACGTGTAAAGGGCTTCTCAAACTTTAAACGCGTTTTTCTCTTTTGCGAATGGCGGGCACGATAACTCAAAGACTAATAACCCAATCGATTCCAAATTGTTACACGTTTCTCTGTGAATGTATATCTATCGTATGGACTAGGATAATGGTAATCGGTGAAGATCTTCCTTATTTTTATACCCTTCACCACACTGTGGTACAGGGTATTATGTCTTTGTGGATATGTTTGTAACAGGCAAAAATAATCGAGATAGACCCATGGTTCCTTTTGATAATATGCATAGAATCACTTTCTGAGTCGATTTATGCATGTCCGTCTGTCCGTCCGTCCATGTATTTTTGTTAACAAAGTACAAGTCGCATTTATGATCCGATTTGTATGAAATTTGGCACAGGTCACTTAATTGGCCCAAGGACGAAACCTATTGAAATTGGAGAAAATCGGTCCACGTTTAGGCATAGCTACCATATAAGGGTACCCAAAATTTTTCGGTATTTTGAGGTTCTTGAGCGCGTTTTTTAACTGAATTCGCTGAAATTTGGTACTTTGAGTTCTTATTGGGTAGCAAATCTCTCTACCAAAAATTATAAATAAAGGTCAATTTTTTCGGATAGCCCCCATATAAGGGTACCCCCAAATTTTCGGTATTTTGAGGTTCTTGAGCGCGTTTTTTAACTGAATTCGCTGAAATTTGGTACTTTCAGTTCTTATTGGGTAGCAAATCTCCCTACCAAAAATTATAAATAAAGGTCCATTTTTTCGGATAGCCCCCATATATGATTACCCCCAATTTTCGGTATTTTGGGGGTTTTGATAGCATTTTTCGACCGAATTTGCTGAAATTTGGTACTTTGTGTTCTCATTGGGTAGCAAATCTCCCTACCAAAAATTAAAAAAAAATGTCCATTTTTTCGGATAGCCCCCATATAAGGGTACCCCCAATTTTCGGTATTTTCGGGTTCTTGGGCTTGTTTTATAACTGAATTCTCTGAAATTTTGTACATTGGGTTCTTATTGGGTACCAAATTACTCCACTAAAAATTATAAATATAGGTCTAGTTTTTCTGGTAGTCCCCATATAACGGTACCCCAAATTTTTGGAATTTTGGGGGTTCTGATCGTATTTTTCAACTAAATTGACTGTAATTTAGTACGTCGAGTTCTTATTAGGTAGCACATCTCTACACTATAAATATTGGTCAATTTTTTCTGGTAGCCCCCAGGTTTTGAGGTTCTTGAACCAATTTTTTTTTTTCTGGCACAGGATATTATGTTTTTGTGCATATGTTTGTAACAGGCAGAAGAAAACGAGACTGACACATACGACTTCTGTTAGGATTCATTTGTTGAATATACTCAAAGTGGTGAAGGGTATCATATAGTCGGCCCCGTCCGACTTTACTACTTTCCTTACTGGTTTAACTTGGTTTTTGGTCAAAAATCTGCGATTTTCGAAAAATATTTTTTCAATAATCCTAGTTCATACGAGAGCCAGACATGTACTCTTTCTAACACCATTTCGGATTCCAATATTCCAGTGAGGAGTTATCATACCCGCCATCAAAAATAAGGACTTCTCTTTAATTAAAAAAAACAACAACAAAACAATTACAAACATTTTTTGTAAATTATTTTTCTTCTTATTTAAATCTTCAAATATATATGTGCAAAGTTACAAACCTTAACATGCATTGGTATTGATTTACCAGCCCATTGAAAATCTTGAAAAAATAAAATCGTGAATGGGGGGGTGTTCCCTTAAATCGGACGAAAATATCTATGGGAGCTATATCTAAACCTGAACCCATTTTCAATAGGGTTCACCTTGTGCCAAATATTCGGATCATAAATGCGACATGTACTTTGTTTACAATTTCACATCAACAGACGATCAGTGATTCTGCATATTCTCAAATCTCGATTCCTTTTACCTGTTACAAACGTATGCATAAAGACGTAATAGGAAAAAAATCCCTCTTATCGGACAATATAATTGCCCCAAAATAAGGAAGCCGATATATTTCAGCTATTTTGACTCATATTGCGACATATAAACCCCAACAACTTCCTACAACAAATTGTCCCCGCAAAGAGACAAAATTACCTAAGCGTTCCACCATCACAAACAAACTATCTGAGTAAATAATTTACAATAGTACACCACCACACTTGAAACCATATTATTTAAATGAATTTATTTTGTAAATGAAAAATGAAGAAGGAAAGAAAAAACACAAAATGCCTACCCTGAGCTTAACTCAACACCACATCTCCAAAGGCAATCCTCTTAACGAACTTAAGTATCGTTTGTTGAGATTTAAAAGGGGGGCTTCTTTTCAATGAATGCCATTATCCCACAAGGAAGAAAACAAAAAATAAGGGCTAAAAAGGAATGTAAACGAAAAAAAAAACAAATATAAATACAAAAACAATGCCTGGGAGTTGGTTAAGAATAGTTTACATAGGTCATAGCAAAGTGCAAATCTCCGTGGTAAGGAAGATTAAAGGGCTGGGTCGATGTGTTTGTGTGCGTAATGTTTATGTACACGAAAAAAACCACAGGAGTATGTTAAATACCATCCGAAAAAGTTGTCCATGCCAGGCCCCACACTCCAGTCAGCCAACACCAAACAAACATTCCCACCCACCTGCCAATGAACAATGCCCCGGTAACAAGAGATGATGCCTGGCTGTAGGAATTATGTAACCTGGCCTACTAGGATCCAGGAAACGCAAACAAGGAAACATTTTAAACTGTAAACCACAAATGGCAAAATATTTGCAAAACTATGCCTGGCTATACAGAAGGCCAACATTTACCAGCTTGCTACACGAGCGGATATCTTGCCATCGTTCCACATACGACTACAATAGCAGCAACACTAGCCACAGTTGCTACTGCCGTCGCTGATGGGAATGAACTCAACCTCCGTGCACCTGGGACACACATTTTATAGAGGCTCTATTTAATGTTACGCTAAGCATTTTGAATTGAATCTCTTGAAAATAAATAAACGACAGCAACAACAACAAAAGAACCGGAAATTAGCTGTAGTTTGTCATAACCTAACAAACAAGCAACTGTCCAATAAATATAAATAATCTATGTAGATATATAGTAAGGAAATTGCAAAACGGAACTTTCCAAATACATACACACAATCGCATATATTTACAAAAGCTCAGATCAGGGACTTAGAACTATACTGCATCGATGATGAGGTATAGCTAATGAAAAATCGTATGGGTCCTCGATGTACAAATTTTAGGTATCAATATACCAAATTACAGGAAATATCGAATATACCTCCAAAATTACGCATTATATCGGGACTACACCGAAACTTATATCCTATGGCAGGCATTCTATTATGTTTTTGTGCATATGTTTGTAACAGGCAAAAGGAATCGAGATAGACCCATGGTTCCTTTTGAGAATATGCATAGAATCACTTTCTAAGTCGATTTACGCATGTCCGTCTGTCCATGTTAAATTGTAAACAATGCACAGGCCGCATTTGTTATTCGAATTGGATGAAATTTGGCACAGCTCATTCATTTGGCCTAAGGACGAACCCTATTGAAATTGGGAAAAATCGGTTCAGATTTAGATATAGCTCCCATATATATTTTCGTCCGATTTAATGAAAATGGTGCACCAAAGTCCCTAAATAGCTCCCGATTTGCACGAAATTTGGAATAGCGTACTGAATTTAGTCCAGACTGATGTGTGCCAAGTTTCCCATATATAGATTCGTCCGATTTAAAGTAAAAGGTGCGCCAAAGTCCCTATATATGTTTCGATTTGCACGAAATTTGGCATAACGCATTGAATTGAGCTTAGAGTGATGTCTGCCAAGTTTCTAGAAAATCGGTTCAGATTTAAATA